AATTGCCCAGGTATTAATCGCTTTGATGATATTTCCGCCACTGAGTTTCGCTTTAAGATTTTCTTCACTCCTCTGATGTATTCACTGCTAACCTTCTTGACTTCAGTGTGCTTGATGTTGTCAGCCTGAAGGATGACCAGGTATTTGTAGTGATCTTCTTCATCCAGACTCTTGATGTTATTTCCATTGGGCATTTTGATTCCTTCAGTATTCACTATTTTCCACCTGTTGATGGTAAGTGTGGCACATTTGTCCAGTCCAAACTCCATTGCAATATCTTAGCTGTATATTCGGACAGTCTTGAGCAGCAATTCTATTTCAGATGGTGTTTTTCCATACAGCTTCAGATCATCCATGTAAAGGAGGTGGGAGATGGCAGATGTTTTTGATGTTTGATAGCCATGTCCTGACTTGTTCAGTATTGCTGACAGAGGAATCAGTGCAGTGACAAACAGTAGCGGTGATAGTGAGACTCCTTGAAAGATTCCTCTCTTGGTATTAACCTCTCCCAGCAACTGTGTCTTCCATTGTGCCATTGATCTTTGCACAAAGTTTCTGGTGTTTCTACTGACTCCTCTTATTTCTATGCACCTGATTATCCAGTCATGTGGCAGGGAGTCAAATGCCTTCTTGTAATCAATCCAAGCTACATTCAAGTTGGTCTTCCTTCTCTTACAGTTTTCCAAAATCATATTATCAATCAGGAGCTGATGTTTTGTCCCTCTGCTGTTTGGGCAGTTTCCTTTCTGCTCAGATAGAAAAAGCTTGTTTTCAACTAGATGCTGTTGGACTGCATCAGCTACCACACCAGTTAGCAATTTGTGTTGGTAAGCAGGTAATTGGCCTGTAGTTGCCTGGTGCTGCCCCTTTTGCTGGATCTTTCATTATCCAGTAGGTTTTGGATTATGTTAACCAATCTTCAATTTCACCTCCATGCACTATATTGTTAAACTATTTGGCAATGAGTGGGTGCAGACCAGTCAGATGTTTCAACCAAAAACCATGCAGTTCATCTTCACCTGGTGCTTACCAATTCTTGATATTCCTTGCCCTTTTCTACACCATTTCTGCTGCTATTACAAGTCCCTTCATTTCAGCTTCTTTTTTATACTTATCTACCTCCTGTACCCAAGCTGCATTCTTGTTGTATTTCTTTGGCTTGTCCCATAGTTGCGCCCAGAACTTCACTGTTTCTCCTTTGTCAGGTGTTGACTGGTTCACTGCAGTCTCTCCACTGATGGATTGGTAGAAATGTTTCTGATTCGACTGAAATTGGAGATTCTGCCTATAGTGTACAGTTTGAGCTTTGTATCTGCTGATCTTCTTGACTATGGCTGTTATTTGCTGCTTCCTTGATCTTCCTTGTTTCTAGGTGATATTTCTTGATCAGGTATTCTTCAGTCTTTTTATTCTTCAGCTTCTTTTCTTTCATCTGTTCTAGCTTGCTTGCATCTGATCTTACGCTGGTCTTATATTCCAACCTGATCTTCCATTTTGGTGGTACACTGTTTGGCTTTTTTTCTTGTTTGTTGATTTTGCATTAGCACGCTGGTCTTATATTCCAACCTGATCTTCCATTTTGGTGGTACACTGTTTGGCTTTTTTTCTTGTTTGTTGATTTTGCATTAGCACGCTGGTCTTATATTCCAACCTGATCTTCCATTTTGGTGGTACACTGTTTGGCTTTTTTTCTTGTTTGTTGATTTTGCATCCACGGTATTCACTTATAACTGCAGCTGTGCTGTACATCAGTTGGTTTGTTTCTTGCAGTGGGCTGGTGCTTATATTTGATATTACAGTATTGTAATACTTTAATACTTGTGCTAGCTCTTTCTTTGTAACAAGCGTCAATACAGGCAATCTTATTCTGTTGTTTTTGTGCTGTTCTAGATGCTCAGTTATTCTTTGTTTCAATTCCTCTTGTTTTTTAGGTAGAGGGCTTTGTACTTTCTGAGGAGAAGGCTTTACTGTCTGAGCTACTGCTGGCAAGTCCTCGATTTCTTTGCCCTGGGTAGACCTTTGCAGTTCTTCCAATTCTACTTCTGTGAATACTTTATTTCATGTTATAAATTGATGTTGATCTGCTAACCTCTATTCTGTTATTTCTGATTCTGGATGTTGTTCTTTCCAAAAGTAGTACATTCTTTTCAGACATCCTCTTCTCGTTGGACTTCATTTATAATAGCAGATAATTATTTCTTTGTTTTCGGTCTTTGTATATTTGCAACGGGTAAACAACTTTTCTTCCATCATCATCATCATCATCATCATCATCATCATCATCAGTATGTAATCCTGTAGATCTAAGTCTCTCCATGACCTAGTCTGTGTATTTTTTTAATGCTTTGAAATAAATGGCATTGGACATTTATTTTTATTTTGGCTCCAAACACAATTCCCTGCTGAATAGTTGTTGAATTACTACATCCTTTTGGATTAAGTCACAGTGTGCTAATCATACTGAAGATCTGTATATCTTGATACAAAAGAATATAGTTTTCTCAGTCAAAATTCTCACAGGATATAATTCCCTGAGTGAAAATTCTCCAAGTAGGGATTTTTTTTTATCACAATTTAAACACATCTATTAACCTGGCAGAGATCCAACCTGGAGGCCAAGGAAAGACATTTTCCCTCCTGAGGGAAGAGTAAACAGTTCAGCTGCCAGAAGAGGAAATTTGTTTCAAGACAGATTTATACATAATAACAGCATGAATTATGTTATACGAAGCCCCAACACAGCCACACAGATTTCAATTATGTTTTTGCCAATGGCTACAAAAATCCAACTGTAATACTTAAGGGATAAAAATTGTTTCCTTATTCTTCCAGTTCTAAAACAAGCATGATAAAAGCAAGCAGAATTGAAATAAAAGATATATGAAACGCTACTGATAATAATGATGATGATGATAACGAGATTATTAAACTGAGTCTCTGGTGAAAGGATAATAAACTTTAATTATAATTGTCCTAGACTTGTTTATTTGGAATGTGCTTCTCCTAAAAATCTATAGGGAGACATACCACTGTTCCAGTAGAAACCTTAAAGTGTGAAGAAGGTGTCTAATTATTTAATAGGTATTATATTGCACATACTCTTTCCCATTATTTAAGTATTCTAAAGCCCTATTGAGTTAATTAAGGATGTAGTAGGATTGGATTGGAAAGTGCTAAGAGATAAAAATACTATTTCCTTTAATATGAGCATGTTGGCCAGGAGGCAAAAGACAGCTATTCACAAAGAAGTCTGTGAATTTATTTATTTATTACATCTGTACCTTTCAGTTAGGAGCTCAAGGCAGTGCACCGAGTGTTATTTCTTCTATTCTTCACACAACAACCCTGTGAGGTAGGCCAGATTGCAAGAGTGTGACTGTTCCAAAGTCACCCAGGCAGCTTCAGTGGCTGCAGGTTGATGAGACCCTGGGCCTCCCCAGTACCAGTCCAGCACCTTGACCCGTACCCCACACTGGTTTCCCATTGTTGTGGGGTTCTTTCAGCATGCCAAAAATATTTTTTTTTAAAATGTAACACAGGATATTATAAGCTTTGAATTATAAACATTGAGGCTGTCATCTTCAGAGCAAAATAAAATCATAAGAAATTGGCCAGCTTGAACCACTCACAGGCAATGGATATTTGTATGTGGGGGGGGATAAGGTCTGCCGTGAAATATCGTAACTGAAATTTGGGGCTTGATAATATGTTCCTATTGAAGGATAAGAGTCTCTGACCCAGTTTTCCATGCTAACATTATTATGGTTACAGAAAAAGAAGGAAATCCACTGCTCCCAAATATTAAACCATGCATTTCCAAACCTACAGACTTCATAGGAAAAGAGCCATGTTAGTCATTAGTAGCAAAAAAACTGGAAGGAGTCCTATAGCATAAGCTTTTGTGAGCTGCGGCTGCCTTTTAATAAAATTCGTTTGTTGGAAAAGATGCTATTAGAAGATTCCTGATTTCCCAGCTGCGGAATTCTGAGACTTGAAGCACATCTGAAGAGCCAGGTTGGGAAACCTGAAGTAATATTTGGGGATAGCATGTTTAGGCTAAACTAGATATTTCCTATTTATCTCTCCTTGACCCTGAGCAGCAAGCAATACAATGTGGGGCTATTACAGTCCTCTGTAACAGGCAGGAAGCTACTCATCTCAACTGGGTATACAGAAATCTTGCTGTGTTGTGCGATGAGGAATTTCCACATCATTTCTTCCTTCTTCGTGGCTTCTCGAAGCTCCCCAATTTCTTTCATTACACTACTGAACTTGGCAGTCTTGTATGGCTTGGTTGGGTGGTAAGAAATGACCACCCAGAGTTTTCTGCTTACTCAGGAGCTCAGCAGAGATATCTGCATCCTCAAAGCTAGATGTGCAGAGAAAAATTCATTTGGAAATTTAAAAAAGAAGGAGGCTGGCTGAACTGGTCTCAAGGCATTCAAAGAATGTGGAAGTTTGTTTGTCATCCTCTTGGGGAAAAGGAAAAATGTGTGCATGGTGATGGGGCAGGGGAGGAGGTTATTCATAAAAATCTACTTACCAAAGTGTACAGCACAGGGATAAACAACTTTTTTGGGCAATCTAGCACATCTGAAGTTTTGAGAGCAAGTGGTGGGGACTTTTATAAATGGCTGCCATGGTGACCAATTTGTCTTAACACAAGATAGATTTCTCTTCCACTCCCTTTATTCCCAGCCATGCTCTACCACTTCCATTTCTAATTGCTTTCTTTTTTTCAGTAGGCAGGCAAAATTATAAATAAAGTATTGAGTTGCAGCCTATCACCATTTCAGTTGGTAATGAATCATATGGGACCCCTGAGTCATTATTTATCTATCATTAACTACTAATAATTCTTAGAAAATTAAGGGTGCTTTGCTTTGCAGTTTATCAGATAGGGAGGCTGGCAGATGCCAACGATACACTAGCATCTCTATAATGCTCTTGATAAAGTTCAACAAATGAAGTTGTTGGTTTATTTATTTAGTATATTTCTAAACTGCTTATCAACAATAAGAAAAGCTCAAAGCAGAATGCATAATTATAGGTGGCTTACAAACATATTATAGCAAAGTGGCTTATAATCTCTCTGCATGAATGGGTTTTTACATGCAGATCTTACATTTTCAGACAAAAGGCACAGACTGTCACCCACCACCTGATATTTGGTGGTGCCTTGGAAAGCAAACCTCAATTGTGTTTCTATTCCACAAGGAGACATACTTACATCTCAGGCAATTCACCACTACCATCCTTCTTTGCTCTGCCATGGCATCAGGTAGGAGATGGGTCCTCCAGATGTTGCTAAACCACAATTCCCAGCAATCCCAGGTAGCATGGCCAATAATGTGGGATGCTGAAAGAAGTTGTTTAGCAACATCTGGAGGAGCACAAATTGTGCGTCCAGGATTCCTACTTTCTAGTTTCCTTCTTGGCCTCTGACATCCATTCCCAGAAGTTGCAGCTGGCTACTGTTCCTTGGAAGTGATGTCTTCTCCTCCCTTAAAATAAATTTGGAAACAGAACAGATAATGTCTAAGCTGGGAGAATAGGTATGTTCTGCTGCTGCAATTCTTTCCTCCAAGATAGGCTACTTGAAATTAGCTGATTTGACTAACAGACTTTTTCAGTGCCTCAGTTGCTACAGGGCATACATATTGCCTTTTTCTACCCATGAAGATCATGAAGGCTCTTTCTTACTTCTTAAGATTTGAAATTTTATCCCAGATGCGTTCATTATCAAAGATGGTAAAGTTCAAATGCAAATTATACTTAAATAATGTTCCAAATCTGCTGAAAAACTTGTTAGAAATAAAAATGAGAGCTCCCTTTTAAGCATAGTGGTCTGTAGGGTCTCTGGTTACTAAATCATTGGAAAGAAGAAAGAATGAAAGAGTCTTTCAGAAGATAAACCTGTTTTAAGAAGGATTAAAATATATAAACTGATCTACTCAGTTGGACATATCTCCTAGCTCTGCATGTGCTCACTCTAGGCTTGTTAATGATGTTTAACTGGCAAGAATGTATGCTCTACATGCAGACAATTGTACTTTAATAGGGATTTTGCGTGTTTAATAAGTTGCCTTCTCCAAATGCCTACCCAGTAAGTACATTTCTCTCTTTGATATACATTTCTCCCTTTTCTTTCTCAGGAACAATGTCACTTTTTTGGGGAGCAGGATTTTTGTACTGTTAACACCTGTATGATAGCAACTTTACGGTTGCAACCTTTCTAGCAAGATGTAATGATAGTGAAACTCCATTTTTTAAAATTTATTTATTTATTTATTTATTTATCAATTTATCAATCATATTTATATAGCTGCCCATCTCACACAAGGTGACTCTGGGCAGCATACAACAATTAA